TTTTTGAGGGGGGCGGGTCTTGCTATGTTCTCCAGGCTGATCTTGAACTCCTGGCCTCAAGGGATCCTCCCACCTTGGTTTCCCAAAGTGCCAGGATTACAGGTGTGAGCCACTGCACCCAGCCCCTCTCTACAGATTTGCTCCCCTTTGGTATACTCTGTTAATTCAAACAGCACTGTAGTGGAAAATTTTCATGATTATATATCTGTGCAAGTGTGAACATGTAATTATAGGCTAAATTCCTGAACGTAAACTTACAGGATCAAAGGCTATATGGATTTTAAATGTGAACAGTTACTACCAAAATTTACTTCCAAATTGGTTGCTGTGATGTTTACAGTTCCAGTTACAAGGACACTGAATGGCCGTAACCGGAGACTCTGAAACAGTATCATTATCATCAGAGCTAGCATTTATTGAGCATGTTTTGTGTGTACTCTTCCCAGTGCTTGCTTTATTTGTATTAACTTTTTAAGTTCTCACAAATATGCTATGAGGTGGGAGGCACCTATTTCAGATAAGGAAACTAAAACTGAGTCACAAAGAGGTTACTTAAGAGCAACATAGCTAGTGAGTGACTTAGGATTCAAGTGCTGCTGGTGGTGAGAGAAGTGGATCACAGTCATCTTGGAGGTGATAGAGATGATAGTGGGGTCCTCTGTGAGCGAGAGAACTAAGAAACAATGCAAAATTCATTCTTATAGGCAAAGTGATGTTGAGAAAAATAAATGCATCCTTGTACATTTAAAGAGGATGGGAAAGGATCTCTTAGAATTTTTTCCTAGCCACTGACCAGAAATTTGGAATGAAAAATGTGCTATTTGGAAATGAGGTGAAACTAGAAAGACAGTATATTTCTTTATCTTTTAAAAGAGTTGGATATTAAAAAAAAAAGTCGTTGTTCTTGAAGATACTTTGTACTGTACAAGTCCTCTCTTCTAGCAAAAGGCTCTCCCATCCACAGAATTTGGGATAATGGGAACAAAGTATACAATCTAGAAAACAGATTGAAACAGTAATCAGTGCAAGCTGAGAGCAAAGGCAAAGTATCAAGGTGAATTGCATCCAGCAGGAAATCTTGTCCGTGAATATTCTCTTATAGGTATCTATCAACCTCCTAAGGAAACAGGAAGAGTTGGATTACAGAAATAAAATTAGTGTTCAGATCCCCCCAGTATCCTCCGGCCAGAGAACAGTTGCCTTCATCTCCTTCTGGCTTATGCTTCTACAGAGCTACAGACCCTTAGCAGCCTCACAAAGTAGGAGGAGAGAGTTTTGGTTCAGAGGTGGGAGTTTCACATGCTCCTGCAGCACACATATGCATGCAGGGACCAGTATTGTGCAGGGGAAACTGGAGATGCATTGCCCAAATGAAGAACTCTGAGGATCACCCCCCAGTGATAGCAGTTAGTATATTTACAAGAAAGTTTCACATACTTTTGCTTGTTTGGTTTTCTCAGAGCAGATGCATGTGAAATAAAAATGAAGCTTTCTTTCCCTTATTTTGAGGACAGTATCTACATGTGCTGTTAATCTATTTGCATTATTAAAACATTTCCTAACTGTAAAGATTTCTCTCTGTGTACCAATCTTCAGTTTTAAGAATGATCTCTGTTCTGTAACTGTTAAATATTAAACTTACAACAGACAGGCTCTTGTAGGCCTCAGTTAAGGGCCTTGATTTTGTTTTAGTTTTGGAAATTTGCCCTACTTTGGGGGGATGGAGAGATCTGGCACCTTTTACTTTGTTTTATAGGTTCAAATACCATTGAATATCACTGTGAGTTTTGGCTTGTTAAATACATTGGTGAGAGTGGGGTTTTGCTAATTTGGATACTCCCTTTTAAGAGTTAAGAAGGGTTTAGCATTTATACTACTGCTCTAGCTATTTTATTAACATGTTAAATTATAATCAAGGCCTGTTTCTAAAGACTCATCAGATTTCCTAAAAGTTTTGAAACTATGGGAGTGTAATCCAGTCCAACTTCAAAGCCTCTGCTGTAGCCTTAGTCCCCATCATCTGGCTTATTCAATCTCCAGATGAAATTCACACAACTGCCTGGGTTGAGATATCACTTACTGCCAGCTTTTAAGGCACTGTAAGCAATAGTTACTTTACCCCCTTGTTGTGACTACTTAAAAAAATCATTTTGAAATTATGTTTCTTTTAATCCACCTGTAGACCTGTCTGGAAAGGTTTGCTAACAGAAAGTCGTTTTTTTTTTTTTCTTTTAGGTATAATATAGGACTGAAATTAAATGCCCCACCTTGAAACCACTCTCTTGAGGGTTGGGATTCTGACATCAGGATATAGAGCTCTACTGAAAGAGTTGTTAAAACATAATAGGTAGTCACTACTTCGTTATAAGACAGCAGCTGTGTGTACATGGCACAGCATCTTCTCCACTGGGTTGGGATATTGATTGTATTCAGGTGCTCTTTGAATGTGAAGTTAAAGAACCAAAATTTTCCTTTTTAGGTCTGTTTGATCACATGGGTAACTCACAGCCACATAGATGTGTAAACATGCATTAGACATTCCTTACCACAGTGCCATCTTCTGCTGGGCTCAGTGCTCAGGTGGAGCAGAGGGCACAGCCAACTGCTAACTGCTTTTTTTTTTTTTTTGAGATTTGACTTGAGGTTGACACAGATCTCCCATCCACAGAAGCCCGGTGTGGGGGGCTTAGGGGCTGGCTCCAGGTCACCCTGCTCTATAAGAGGCAAGGCTGGCTGAGACAGTTTAGGAGTGGGTGCCTGAATTTGTTGGATTTCAGTTCTTTTCCACTTGGTTCTTTTCTATCAAAACTACTGAGCTGTTACAGCATGAGGGCTGTGCCTGGGACTAACGTCAGTTCATTCTACTACCTTCCATTCAGTGTCAGGCTTCAGTCTTCTGCCTCTTCATATGAAGCAGCACTTAATTTTTGCCACATCAACTGAAACCCTTCTTCAAGTTTTTATTGTTTGCTGGAGTCTGAATATCCTAACTGAAAAAGTCTGGTAAATAACTGGCTGAATCTTAATGGTTACCTTTAAGGCAAGTTTCCTTCTCTCATGGATTCCATCCAGATGTGTAGTCTACCAGAACTGTCCAGTATAACATAGCCCCCTGAAGAAATAACAACTTTACACCACTTAAATTCTTCTTGATCCACACTTCAGAAAATGTCCCCTTATCACACCTAACTCAGACTTCAGCACTCTCTGTGGAAATTGAGCTGCGAAGACCACCCTAGTCAAGTAGGCAGTCCGATAATTTAAAGCCAACATTTGAAAATAAATATGTCCTACCTTCATGTCTTCTAAAGGCTTGAATGTGTCATTGTCTGGGTGCTCTGGAAGTCGGATTGTTTCTGGGTGCTATGTGTGTATGTTGGGTGATATGTCACTTTTTTCCCCCTTTTTAGGAACAAGAAGAAAACAAGGGAGCTACAAGTTGGCCTGAATTCTACATTGATCAGCTCAATTCCATGGCTGCTGTAAGTAGACTTTTATGTTCTTTGACATGCTGTTTAAAATGCAAGCATAGTACAAAGTACACAGTTGCACAATAAATTCGATTGAGTATGACCTATCAAAAGTCATTACCTTTCCATCCTAAACATTCAATGCTGAAGAAAGGAAAGGGGGTAGGAGGGGTACTTGGCAAAGTGATTTTTCCAGTATGTTTTAAATAAAATCAGCACACACTAAAATATAATTGAGTTTAATGTTGTAAGTGGAAATGTAGTCTGAAATCTGGCTTGTGTTCAACTTTAACTTGCAATTGCTCTTACCAGTCACTCAGAGCTTTGTTATGGCAGCACTATTTTAAAAGTTAATACCGTTTTTAATAATATGATTAAGTGATTTCTTTAGTATATTCCTCCCATTCTCTTTCTTCCTGAGAACTTGGTTATTCCCTGGCTTCTTGATTTTACAGTGGACCAAGTGCTCTTTTACTCATATAATAGGTCAGGAATTGATGAAGTAAGTGGTTTAATGAAAAGGCATCATAATAATATTGCTGAGATGTCCTTGGAAAATCTTTAGTACGTGGATTTTGGGTTCAGTAATTGCTTAAAATATATTCTCAATGTCCAAAATATGAATCCTGATTGCATGGATGTCTATGATGTCAGCATTGCCAGCAGCTTGAGGGGCACCTATTCATCACAGCTAAAATTCACAGCAGAAAATAAGTCATCAATCTTTGAGCCTCCATAGCTTAAATCTCATTATGGTTGATAAGAATTGGAGCTTGCCCGCAGTGGAATGCAGTCTTTCTCAGTGGGCACACTCATGATTTTAAGAGTCAATCTGTTATATTCAACTTGGTGTTTATAACATGCAAGTAGATGATAGCTTCTAGAATACTTTCTTCTACCTCCTTCCTGCCCTCTCTCTTTATGGAGAATAAATTTCTTATCACTCAAACATTTTAAATGGTCTCATAACATTTTCCTCCTGCTGGAATAGTTAAAAACTGATTAGAATATGTGAGTCATTCACACGTTTACCAACTTTTAGAGGTCTTGACTTTTAGTAACTTCCTCTTTTAGCTTTTATTCTTAGAAGATGCTTCTTTTGCTGTCATACAATGAATAATAAACAGCCTGGTTATTATGAACAGGGCTGTATAAATTATAGAAGAAACTATGTAAGTTCTTTCCCAAGGATTTCTAGTCTAAAAGCATAGCAGAAATGAACAGAAAATAACCACCAAATCCTCCTTCTTCAAAGCATCTCACACAATGCCAAAGATGAGAAAAGAGTGATCTCAGCATTTGTATGACTATGGTAACAGAGCATAAGATTTGTGATGACCACCAGGGATTTTCTGTACATCTGCCTAAGCAATAATAATTTGGAGCCATTTATATTTCCTGCATGGAAAGGCGATTTTCTAAATTCTTGGTCCTGGCTATTAGGAAAAAAAGAATTGTTTCTCCTTCTAATTAAATCTGCATTGTTTGATATCTAACAAGAGAAGTTGCTTATTTGTTAATGAATTCTTTTCTGTAAATGGAGAAATGCTAAGTACTATATGGATTTTTCCTTTCTTCAAGTATAGGACAGTTAGATTAATTTGTCCTTTAGCGACATAATCCCTGCCTTGTCTGGAGTAGACCTGGTTCATGTGTGTCCTACAGGGCTGGTGATGTGCCAACATGTGGGTGGCCCTTCTCTAGGAGCCTCCTCTCTCCTCCATCCAGCTCCTTGGACAATTCTTTGCCACATTCTTGAGTGATCTACGTTTTAACTACTGTGCGTTTGGATCCTAATCCAAAATCCTTCCCAAGAGCACCACAAGTCTATTAAATTGTCAGTGACTTTGCTGTTCTTTTTGTGTCAAACACCTAAGAAAGCTTTCTAATGTTCCTTTTAGGACTGAGGCAGCATCTTTCCAGGGTCAAAGGTAAAAGGTATTAATAGTCCATGAATTAATAAGGCCTCGAAAATCCTGCATACTTCAGGGAGTAAGGAGATCTGATGAGACCAGAAACCCTGTGCTGGGTTTTCTGTTTTTCTCAACAGTGTGACTGCCACCACCTTCTTGCATAGTTCTGGCTAATCCCTCTGATGTCCATACTGGAGAATTCTTGATAACACACAGCAGAAATCCTGAGATACTGTCTCTGGGCAGTAGAAAGGTACACAAGTCCTCCAAATCCTTTCATGGCCCAGCAGCTAGACTCTTTGGTTCTCTGCTTAGGGCATTCTTGAAGGGGCGTTTTTCCACATTGTCATCACCCATTGTCTGTAGAATCAGCAGCAACTACTGCTTTGGAGTGTGCCTCACATGACAGGCAGGATAACAGGTGCTTTACATGTTTGAGGTCCCACCAGCACCCTATGCTGTAAGTGCTATTTATAGATAAGGAGTCTGAAACTCCAGAAAGGTTACCTTGTTTAAGGTTATCTAATTAGGAGGTGGCCATCTAATTGGGAATTTAAACCCATCAGTCTGAGCCCAAAGACTCCTTTCCAATTTGCCTCTCACTAACTCAGTTTTTGAAACCCTATGGCATGTGAATGAGGCCTGGTTATCCCACCTTCTCCCCACCCCCAGGCCTAGCAAGACTGACTTTTCTGAGATGGGACAGGCATCTGTTTTCTTTAATGCCTCAAGAGTCTGATAAACAGTCCAGGTTGAGAACTGCAGCACTTACTAGTCTGTGAAGCCAGCCTTTTGTGGAACAAGTTCAGTTACTTTATGTAAGCCTCATTACAAGAATGCTTTGTTCTTTAAAGGACCCCTGAGTGATCTGTTGGCTTTTAAAGAGTGAAAAATAGTATAATAAAAGAGTGCAGCCTAACAGGTTCGAGAAGGACCTGGGCTTTCTTTATATGTGGCTTCTCCATGCATTCTTAAGGAGGAAGACTTCAAGGTGAAGTTCAGTATGCCTAGTAGGCTGGCTTACTGATTTCCCACCAAAGAAATGATTCAATCAGGAGCTAAGTTCCAGACTCCCAGCAGGAATGATTTCTGGGCCACATTTGTCCATATCTGTCAGACCCATGTGTTCCAATGTATACCTCAGCAGCTTTAACAGAAAGATCCTCTGCAAGGATGTACTTTGTCCTTGCCTGCTTCTCATGTGAGCAGGTATTGAGTAAGGACATAGAGCATTCAACGAAACTTCCACAAAGCCTGTACATACTAGATATTTGGCATATTAGTCATCTTCAGAAATGTAGGCATCTCCCTTATCTACTAAAAGTTGCAAATTAAACCTTCTTCCCAAATGTGAGGCTTGAAAGCTTGAAACTTCTTATAAATTATTTTGTTTTGAAAAGTCACATTTAGAACAAGTTCAGCTATATGTCCTCAGTTACGTCAACCCAATAAATATAATCTCAGACCCAAGCCTAAATATATCACACATAGAAAATGTTGTAGTCTCTTCTGTTTTGAGAGAAAGGTTATATGTTCCTTACACAGTATTGGGAAAGGAAGTTCCAATTTAATTTTCTTTGACATTTCATAAATCTCCCAACTCTAGTATGGAGAGACTTAATATAGTCTGCTGCTATTCAAATGTTCCACCCTCTTCAAAATTTCTAAAAGGCTAAATACATGCATTTTTATTTGTACCTGCGGCTCACAATAAAATGTATAGTCTTTAATTTGGGGATAGTTTTGTGTCATTAAGCTTAGGAACAAGGAATGATATTCATAAAAGGCTTGATTCTGAGCTACAGATTCCAAGTGATTGCATAAGAGTCCGAACGAGTTCAGCTGTGTCATTGGAGATTAAACGTTCTTGGCTGGATTTGTGTGAATTTTCCAGGGGATGGGTCTCAGGGAGCTTTGGGGAATTCATTGACTGTTTCTGCACACAGCTTCCTTCCTCGTCATCCCCTGGTGACAGCTGTCCAGGAGCATCACCAGCAAGAGGACAACTTTAGCAGAAACAATAACAGTCTTGGCTTTTATTTCAGTTGCCGTAAATGATACTGATGTGTTATATTTATTTTGCTTTGAGCTTTACCCTTCTCATTATGAAATCATATTTAGGTTTTAGTTAACATTTAGTTACTTAATGCTGATACTATTGATTGTCACCCTTGATGATTTATGGTCCTGAAAGAAAAGCCATGACTGGATCATTGAGACTCATGGATATGAGTCAGGCTCTTCTTTTTCAATACAGTTACCCCAATCTATTTCCTAGCCAAGTATTTCTGTCAGAATTTGTAATAGGTAAAAAGATTGAAACTAGACAACATGTGTTCCGAATAGGATGAAGAACAGGGACTGGGAGCTCCATGGTGGACGTTCCTGGAATCATAAGATTGGGGGTACTTTAGTACAGACAGATGATCACAGAGTGAAAGTGAATGGAGTCATCAGATTGGGGGTACTTTAGTACAACCAGGTGATCACTGAGTGAAAGGGAATGGAAAAGACTAGACACCTTACTGGCATTCACAATTTTATAATAATTGCAATCTTACATAGAACCTTGCTCTCGCGGCATCAGCATTGCCTAGATATGTGTCAGGAATGCAATATCTCAAACCTCACCCCAAACCAGGCTCAAACCAGACATACCAGGCTCCACATTTTAAGACTATCCTCAGGTGATTTTCAAATCCACATTAAAGTTTGAGAAGGACTGCTCTAGCAGATCCCTGCATAGAAACACGCGCGCGCGCGCGCACACACACACACACACACACACACACACACACACACACACTCTCTCTCACTCAGACTCACACTCTGATTTCTAAATGATGGTGAATCATTTCTAGAAGTCAAGCCTTTACTCTAAAGGAATTGCCTATCCTAGTAATAGCTCCAATTTAATTGTTCTTCTTAAAAAATGATTTGATGTAACAAAATTCCTTTCATCTTGATTACACTTTTTGGCTGAGGAATAGGAATGGTAGTGTGGGAGGACTGCTGCCCACCTCCTTTTTGATAATGTGATAATTGCTCAGACTCTGGGACTTGAGATTTGCAGAACTTGAAATTGTGGCCTTGTATCCTACATGTCATACAGCTCACATCTTTTGAACCCACCAAATTGGGTGTTCCCTGAAAGTGTTACAGCTTGCCATTCTTGAATTAGGATCAATATGAATAATTTTTCATATTTCACTATATTACTCAGATGTAATTGCCAGAATGTTGTATTCAACTACAGGTTCAATCTTATTTCTATCAAATACAAATAGTAATATCTACATCAAAGTGTAAGTGTAGAATAGTTATACAAACATTTGGGCAACATAGTCTCTACTAAGATTTCTAAACTTTTCCTTAAAGCTTTATTTAGAATTTGAAGGACCTAGCTTACTTGATTATAGATTTATTATTTATATTTAAAGTGATAATAACAAAGAATCTTAGGTTTGTCTTGTTTGTACTGTAATTAAAAAATAGAATTTGAAGAAGTGACTTCTGTTTTCTTTGCACAGAGAAAATCTCTGCTGGCTTTAGAGAAGGAAGAAGAAGAAGAGAGAAGTAAAACTATAGAGAGTTTGAAGACAGCACTGAGGACAAAACCAATGAGGTAATTTTCCCTGGTTAGCATGGTTTTTTTCCTCTCCTTTTTCCCTCCTTTTTTCTGCAATAGTCAAACCTTCTAGTAAGTCTTAAGTTAAAACCATGAGTAAACCATGAGTAATATACTTTAATCATTAACGTTTAATAAAATTATTTTCTTCTGTTAAAAGGTATACAGGCAGCCACTAGGATGGCTAAAATAAAAAAGACAGAGACTTTAACAATGGCAAATTAGTAGGCAGGAATGTAGAAAAATTGGAACCCTCATTCATTGCTGCTAGGAATGTAAAATGGTGAAGCCACTTTGAAAAGGCTTTTAACAGTTTCTCAGAATTTTAAATACAGTGTTGCCATATGACTCAGTAATTCTACTCCTAAGAATATAGCCAAGGGAAATGAAGACATGTCCCCCAAAAACATGTATGCAAATGTTCATATCATTATTCATAATGGCCAAGAAGTGGAAACCACCATATATCCATCAGCCAATGAAATGATAAATTAAATGTTATATATCCACAAAATGGAATATAATTTGGCTACAAAAAAAGGAATGGAGTGCTGATACATGTTACAACATGAAATAACCTTGAAATATGCTAGGTGGAAGAAGCCAGTAACAAAGGAGACCACATACTGTATGATTCTATTTATATGAAATGCCCAGAATAGGCCAATCCATAGAAACAGAAAGTAGATTAGTGGTTGCCAGGAGCTGAGGAAGTGGGGAAAATGTTCTCTTTGGGTGATTAAACTGTTCTAAAATTAGATAGTGTTGATGGTCACACAGCTCTGTGAATATACTAAAAACTACTGAATTGTACAATTTAAAAGGGTGAATTTTACGGCATGTGAATTATTTCTCAATACAACTAATTTTTTTAAGATGGGTAGACTTTCTGGCAATAGTGATTCATTTCCTCTCTGATAATCAGCTTCTCTGGTGTGCCTCCTGCACTTTCATTTTCCTTTAATGCCTGTAGGATTTGGTGACGTGTTGAGGTTCTTACATGTACATTTCATGAGCACAGGTGCTATGAATGAAGCCAACTGGTTTAATGAGCTTGGCTATAGCTGGGTCATGTGGTTGGGTGAAAAGCCTAGAATATAAAGATTCCCTTTCTTTATTTGACTATAAAATGAAAACTTAGAAAAGTCTGATTCATGAAAAATGTTGTGTAGTTATATGACTGAGATCTAGACTATCCTGTCAGCGTTTCTGTCAGTGTGTTCTGTATTCTCAGATGTTGATCAATATCCAAGGCTAAGTAACTTTGGAAAATTTATCACGTAAACAGGTTATGTTACTTCTGAGCTTTTCAGTGGCTTTAATATATACATATGTATTGTGAGTTATTCTCATTGATTAGCTTAACATTAAGTGTAACAAATATTAATAAAGTTAATATACAACATAAGTATTGCTTTATTATTCTATTCCATGTACATGGAATAATGAGATTCCATGTAGCATGTCATACAAGAGAATAGTTTTTTAATAAAATTTTTGGGATATAGATTATCATTTGTTCGTCAAGCAAATATTTTGGAATGTAAGGAAGCTCTTGACTTTCATTAATAGGGCGTTTAGGTCAGCGATCAGCACTTACAAGTGCCTCAGCAGTCAACATAAAAGCGCATGGCCGGACATTGTCACTCACTATCCCAGCTACTTGGGAGGCTGAGACAGGAGGTTTGCTTGAGGCCAGGAGTTCAAGACCAGTCTGGGCAAAATAGCAAGTCTCTGTCTCTAAAGAAAATTAAAAAGAAAAAATTGACTGAGAATGGTGGCATGTACCTGTAGTCCCAGCTACTTGGGAGACTGGGGTGGAAGGATCACCTGAACTCAGGAGTTCGAGGCTGCAGTGAGCTATGACAGAGAAAGACCTTGTCTCTCTTAAAAACAAAATGGGGGGTGGGTTGGGGTATTGAAACTATATGCTAAATAACCCAGGATCTGCAAATGATTTTAACCTAAGACAAGATATGTATTCTGAGTATTCTCTTGCTTTTTTATGAGCATGTGATCTGTTGGTTCTTTGTACTTGTTGAGATGTGTTTATCACAAATGGAGGTTTTTGTTTGTTTTCTTTTTTTTCTCCACACTTTTGGTTAGACCTGACCATTGGGTCTGTGCCAAGGAAGCAGCAGAGCATTAAAAAGACTTTATCGGTGTAAGACTTCAGGAACGAAATCTTACTTTCCCCCACCCTCAGGATTTTTCTATTAGGGGCTATTATAAAACCCCAAAGGGACTTAAGTGTGGTGTACTTCTCTTCACGACAGGTTTGTAACCAGATTCATCGACTTGGATGGCCTGTCATGTATCCTCAACTTTCTAAAGACTATGGACTATGAGA